AAAAAAAAAAAAAAAATGTAAAGCTATTTTCCGAAGAATTTAGTAAAAATTTAAGCATAGATAACTGTTCCGTGAGTTTTAAACACAGATGTGCAAATTAATAAATCAATAGACTATTTATGATTTCTCACCTTTTTGTTGAATGATAAATTTATGAGCAGTAAACTAAGTCTAATAAGTCATTTGTGGCTAATTAAATATTGCTATATTTTATTCGTATACATATATTTCTTATCCAACAACTGACGATAAAACAATGGTAGTGATCTTTAAATTGCAGTAACACGATTTATTCGAAAAGGGATACCGGCAAGTCTCCGACCAAATGTAAGTTTCCAATGCTTCAGATGTTCGTTATTTTGAAGCCATAACAGTAATCTCGGGTGCTTTTGCTCTTCCTTCTCTTTCTTTTCCTTCAGCAGGCTTCTTCTTTTCATTCTTTCTTTTCTTCCTCTCCTTTACCAGATACTTCTCAGGTCTTTCCTGTTATTACCGTTTGAAAATACACCTTTATCTTCATTTACCTAATCGTTGTTTGACACCGCAAGAAAAAAGGAGGAACAAGATGATGTTATCACTAATGAATGGTTGGCAAAAAAAAATCCTCTTTTTTTTTGTTTAGCAACTAATACTTTTTTTTGTTGTTCTTTTTAAATGCGAAATTGAAAAACGAACACAAATTATTATTGGAGCCGACATTAATGTTCCTTTTTATGTCCTTTGCTCTTTCGTTTTTCGTTTCTTTTTTTTTTTTTTGACACAGTGTTTTGTTTATTAGAAAACTTAAACAACTTTTGCAAAAGTGCTTCAGTTTGGTTTTTTTGTCGTTGTTATTAATGTTTAGATGTCAAAACATAACAAATATGTAACAAGATAGTTGTCAAATAGCAAAGGCATAAAAACCAAAAGAGAAAAGAAGGAAAGATGGCACAAATCAGAAGGAATTACAGAACTTATATCGATTATCTGATGATTACTGCATCAGAAACAATAAATATAGGTGAAGATTTATTGACTGCACTAAATTTTCAAGACATTTAAATCTTAAAATTTTTGAAATTAGCAGTCAATAAATTAAACGACAATGTGCAATTGATTAGTTTCTAAAAGAAACTATTAATTTTCCAATTATTATTATTTTTTTTGTTGTTGCTTTAATAATTTAACTTTGTTTTGTTTTTTTTTTTTTTTTTGAGTCATAATTTTCGTTAATACATCGTTCGTTTCCTTCGTTTTTTTTTTTCACTCTGCTTTTCGGCTATTTAAAAGGAAGACAGCAACAAATTCTTTTCCATTTCTTATTTTAAAATTTCTTTTCATTATAAATAAAACTGAGAAGGGTTTTCTTTTTCAGTTTATTTAAATCAATTTTTTTGGTTTCCTTCTTTTCCTCTTACATTTGACGATAGAATAACCTTGAACAGTTGCTTCACCTTCTTCTCCACTTATTACCTCTTCTGTCCTTTTTCCGCTGGTCAATAGTCTGTTGATAATTCCAAAAACTGTGCAGGTTGGATAAGTAAAACACACAACACTGCAGTGTTTATTGAAACAGAGAAAATAAACCGAAGCGTATACATCAGACTGAGCTCAGTAAACAGAGGGTGTAACGTTCACAGAAATTGTTAGCATATATTTTTTGATACTCCTCTAATAGACTGTTATCAAGAAATTTTTGGTAAATAAGCCCTTTTATTGTTTTTAAAGAAGTAACAACAAAAATTTTTTTGTCATTTTTTCTCAAACGGTTCTTTATATAATCAGCTTTCGTTTATTTATAACATAATTAGTATTTACTCTGAACCATTCAGCAGTGCTAAAGATGAGAAAGCGTGTGAAGGAAATATTCAGCGATTTAGTTTCCTTGTATTAAAAGGGTTGTTCGCCCAGCTGACAACATTATCCCATCACCATTTTGTATGCTAAAATTGACTGCAATTTCTTTCTTCCTTCAACAGCGAGCTTTATCGAATTTCATAATTATAATATCAGTCTTCCCAGTAGTTTCTAAAAAAAAAACACTAGTGTTCTTTTTTTCAATTAATTTTTAGTTGCAACCAGAAATTTTTTCGTTTCTTGTTCACGTGTACAGTGGTCAAAAAATGTCCTTTCAACACACATCAACAGCAGGCACCTTGTCAAACGTTGACTTAACAGTTGCTGTTTCACCTACAAGGTAGATTCCAAATGTTTGTCAATTTTTCTTAGTAATCCTTACATGTCACATCTATTGAATGCAACAAAAAGTTGAGCATATTCGTAGAAAACAGACAAATTTAACTACCAGTACAAGGCTCTTTTAGATAAGAGATATTAATCTAATTTATCATTATTGATATTTGTTTAAAATTGGTCTTACAGCAGCAGAATTTTTTTTGCTTTTCTGTGTTGTGCAGATAAATCTCGTATATTACATTTGATCAGTGAGCACAACCCACGCTTAGTAACTACTCAATGCAGAGCGATTAACTGAAGAATTTTTAATAATGGACAAAAATAGCAAAAATAAAAAAGTTTAAGATGCATGCAAATACCTTTTCTACATCTTTACGCTGTAAATTTAAGCTTATGGTTTGCTAGCATTATGTTCCAGATGCATTTTGAAGTTCAAAATTTTAACTGGGTCTTAGCAATCCAACATTGGACAGCAACACCTTTCAGCAATTGTTACACTAAATTTCTCTGGTTAACACAGCTGTTATTTTCCATACGATGACATACAACTTCCAAATTTTTCCGGATTTTTTTTTTTTTTGCTATTCTCTCCTTAATCTACGTAACCGTTTTGTTAGCAAACGCATACAGAAAAAGAGAAGAATTATTTTTGCACTTATAAAAGGAACATAGATAAATTAACTAAGAAAAAAAAAAAGAAAAAAGTAAAAATCTCGTATGGAAAGAAAATAAGTGAAAGTTTAGAAGAATTGTTATTGTAATTTTTTCTGCATTTTTTTTCTCGATCTAAAATTTAAAATTTTTTACACTTTTCTGTAGACTTACACAATAGAAAAAATGCAGTTATTTCTTGCCCGTGTTACTATTTAGATTCAAAGCTCATTGAGAAGCGTCGTTAAAAAAAGTAAAATTTATAGCAACAGTTGAGAAATAACTCTTTGTATATATTTTTTTTATTTTATTGACATAAAACCGATGTCTGTTGTTAGGAAACGCTAA